CTCCCTCTGCACCTTTGTGTATGCTGTTCCTCATGCTGGGCCAACCCCTTCTTTTCTCTTTCATGTATAGAAACCCTCCCTCCCTCTGGGCTCAGGTCAAATTACCCCTGTCCTCCTCCCCCAGGAAGCCCGCCTGGGTTATCAGCTCCAAGATCTCTGGATAGTTCTAGCGCCCTTAGTGTGCCTCTCGTAGTCTCCTTGTGGGTACCACCCAGCTCAGGAAGAGCCCAGGGGAAGTTCTGAACTCTGAAGAGTCGGATGAGGGGGGAAAGGGGCGGCTGAGGTATTTTTGGAGGATGACTCCTTTTAATTTTGTGTGTGTCTCTATGCTATTCCCAGAGAATGTTAATTATGTAAGGAGGGTGGGGGGAGATAGAAGAGGGTAAAGGGATAAATGGTGATGGAGGGAAACTTGACTTGGGGTGGTGAACACACTATACCAGTGATGGCGAACCTTTTGAGCTCAGCGTGTCAGCATTTTGAAAACCCTAACTTAACTCTGGTGCCGTGTCACATATAGAAATTTTTTGATATTTGCAACCATAGTAAAACAAAGATTTATATTTTTGATATTTATTTCATATATTTAAATGCCATTTAACAAAGAAAAATCAACCAAAAAAATGAGTTCACGTGTCACCTCTGACACGCATGTCATAGGTTCGCCATCACTGCACTATACACTACACAGATGATGTATTGTAGGAATGTACACCTGAAATCTATACACTTTTATAAACCAATGTCACTTCAATAAATTCAATAAAAATGCATTTAAAAAATCACATAATAGACCGTACTAGTGACCTTGCTATTGGGAGCCTCTGCCACAGTGTTTCACGTCAGTCACGTCAGTCAGTTCATCAAGCAGCTCCCAAGCAGCCTCTGTGAACCCGGGACAGGCGCAGGGGCCGCATTTCGGAGAGGACAGGATGCTGCCTGGGAGATTACAGAGCTGGTGGGGGTGCAGACGTGGGGAAGATCCCGTCTTCCCACTGGGGCCTCCGACCCCAGCTCCACAGCTGTCTGCGCATGGCCCAGGCCAGGCCGAGGCTGGGGGTGGAGGCGCCCAGGACTGGCTTGGGGTCCTGAGTCAGATGGCCTGGGTTCAAATCTTGAATCTTGGCCACCCTGCCTTGGGCAAGGCACTCCAGCCTTGGAGCCTCAGTTTCCCTCCCTGGGTACCTGGGTTACCACAGTGAGCTGGCAGGATGTGGGGGCCAGGGGATGCACTAGTTAAGTCAGGGCCCACCCTCAGCAGGCGGGAGCTTCCTTCTTCCCCTGCCCGAGGCCCTGCCGCCCCACGGGAGTCCGGGGCTGAGGTGCTGTGAAGAGGGCCTGGCAGGCCTGAGACCTGGTCTCGGAGGCTCCCTCCTCGGTACTGGGTCCGTCCCGTTGTCCTGCCTGGCAGCCTGCACGGCAGTGAGGGCTGGCCCTGCCTCCGCCCAGAACGCGGCATGCGCTGCTTTGGAAACCACTCTTCGTCACCCCATCACTCCATCTGGGTCTGCGCAACAGGAGGCCCCTCCCAGGAGGAAATTCCTGCCTGAGTCCTGCAGAGGCATCTGCTGGGGGGGGGGGCGGGGGCGCCCAGGGGAAAGTGCCAGGGGCTGGGGGGGGGGCATTCCTCTGGGGCTAGTGGACAGGCAGGTACCTTTTCCCCCCTCCCGGCCTTCTTCCTTCCCTCTGTGGCCTTGCACATTTCAGCAGCTGGCTTCCTCTGTTGAACCTCAGCTCCCCCACCTGCAAATGGGCATTCAAGCCCCACCTCCCAGGGCTACTGTGGGTGCCCAGCCGGAGCAGGTATTCCAAAAATAACAGCTGGGATGTAAGTTCCTTCCCCTTCAGGGAATCCGAGTGAGGAAGACAGATGGCTTTTCAGGATTAGACATTGTTGAGGCCCTCCACCCTCTTTCCACTTACCTCCAACCAAGCAGTCCCTCCTCGTGGGTGGGCCCTGGGCAGCGCCGGGGAACGGGTCACAGCCTATCCCGGAAAGGGACGTGGTATCTGGGTAGATGTGAGCTGCTTGCTACCTTCTGGGAGCATCCACACCTGCCTTTTCAGAAGGGGCGTCCTCCACTCCAGGCCAAGCCCGTTGTACTTGACGCTGGAGCAGGGCAGCCAGGGCCCTTCTCTCCTCTCCCAGGCCACACGCAGGGCCTGCAAGGCCTCCAGCCTGTGCAGAGACTCAGAAATCCATCTATTAATGAAACATTTCAGATGGCCTAAATATGTAAAAAGACGTTGCAATGGCTGTTCGTGTCCCTGCTGTCCCACCTAAGAGATAATTAATGTGAACAGATCCTACGGGGAAGGACGGCGAGCTCCTCCCAGAGGGAAGCCGACGCTGCCGTGGTGTGTGTCACCTCCTAGCCACACGGGCAAGCAGCCTGGACAATATTTAGTGTTGTTTCGCGTGTTTCTAACCTTAGCATAAAGCAGTATCACACAGTGTGCAACCGGCAGCTTGCTTTTTGCTCAGCCTTGTCTGTGAGTTCAGCCAAGTAGCTCTAATCAGTTTCATGCTTGTAGAGGATTCCATCATGTGACCAGACCACAGCTGAGGATCTAGTCCTAACTGACCCCCACTACGACCCTCTGTCCACACTATTGATGGACATTCAGTTTGCCTCCAGTTTTCGCAATTATAAACAATATGCTTTTCCCTCTGAGACCCATTCCCCACTTGGGCCGTCCTTAGACTCCCGTTCACCCACCCAAACCACCCTCTCCGCTCTGCGCCTAGAGCTGGGGGCTCGGGAGGATGAGGACCAGGGGAGAGCGGGAGGGTGGCATGCAGGCAGGAAGGGGTCCAGACTGCCTCCCACCTCCAGTGCCTCAGAGCCACCAGACGGAGGGTGCAGAGGGGAAGAAAGGCCACGGGATTGGGCAAAGGGGACGCAGAAAACATGGGGTTTAAAACCTGAAGAATCAGCAACTGTCTTCATTTTTCATCTCGAGTCCCAGCAACAAAGATCATGGCCGGAGGCAAGACACAGGCAGCGCCAAGAGGGAAACGAGCCCCCTCCCTTCTCCCCACGGTGAGTGTCCTCCAGGTCCCGAAATGGACGTGCACCGCTCCAGCCACATCCAGTCTGTGTTGGGATGGGATTCTCGTCAGCCCAGAGGCAGAAGAGGAAGGGTGTGCACAGATGAAAGCACCGGAGGAAGTGCTCCTGGATTTTGGTCCTCAAGGGCTTCCTGGTGACCCCTATGCGGGGAGACCCCGGGAGCCGAGCCCATCGCTCAGGCAGCCTCACTAAGAGCCCCACCCTGACCACTGCTTGGAAGGAAAGCTTACTCTCTAGCTCCCTCCCAGATGCAGCTACTACTCGGCTGAAGCGAGAACCCGCCATCCCCGAGTGCCTCCCGTCTACATGCAGTGCTTGGCACGGACCCTGAGACCCCCGAGACGATTAGTGTTCAGGATGCTCATTAGGAAGTTCCCCTGAGATTAACACCTGTGCAGGGGACCAGAGGAAAACAGGGGCGGATCAGACGGAGGGAACGCCGCCCCCCAGCAATTTCAGCGGGTGCATGAGGAGTCCCGGGCTAAAGCAGCCTATCTGCTGAGAGGGCCAGACGCTTTTTTAAAAACATAATATGTTTTTATTGGTTTCAGAGAGGAAGGAAGAGGGAGAGAGATGTAAACATCAATGATGATAAAGAATCATTGATCAGCTGCTTCCTGACGCCCACACTGGGGATGGAGCAGCAACTGGACATATGCTCTGACTGGGAATCAAACTGTGACCTCCTGGTTCATAGGTAGACACTCAACCTCCGAGCCACGTCGGCCAGCCGGGCAGGGTCAGACTCTCAGTACTCGGGCCTTGATAGTGGCTCTGTGGAGCCGAGGCAGTCCCAGCAGTGCTGGGGGCGGAGGGCTGGCTGCTTAGTGCTCCCTGTGGTGAGTGCAGCAAGTCCTTCCTTGAAGGGGAACTGAGCTGCACATTTTCATTGTCCTCATGGGGCAGAAGAGCAGGGGGCGGGTGGGTAGTAGTCCTTGAGAGCTACTCAGGGTAAGTGTCTTGCAGCTGTGGCTGGAGGGAGGGGAGCTGAGAGAACAGAGAGGGGAGGGGGGGATTCTGGGCCCAGGTCTCCATGCGACTTCATTTCCTTTGATTAACACACAGGGACAGAACTTGGTGTTATGGCTGTTTGACCTCCACTCCCTCCTAACTGACCCCCACTACGACCCTCTGTCCACACTCCTTCCAGATTGATCTTTCCCAAAGGCACATCAGATATGCACCTCCTCTGCTTAAGACACCGGGAACATAACCCCAGCTCCTGGCAGGGTCTGCTGGGCCCCCTAGGGCCCGTCCTGCCTGCCTCTCCCACCTCAGCCCCTAAGCTCTGGCTCTGGTCACCCAGCCCAGCCATGCTAAGGGGTCTGTTCTGGGGCCTTGGCGATCGCTGTTGCCTCTGCCTGGAACCTCTTTCCCTCCAGATACTCACAGACATGCGTCCTCAGCTCAATGCCACCTCCTCCCGGTGACTGATGACTCACTGGACCATCCCTTTTCTCACATTTATTCAAGGAATACCCATGAGCACTTACCACGTCCCAAAGCACCTTTCTAGGCAGCGGAGCTAACAGGGCGAGTGAGTCCAGGCCTTGCCTCGTGGAGTTCACATTCAGGAGATAAACACAGAACTAAAAGGAAAACACCACGAGCTCAGAGCCCTTAGCGTAGACAGTGAGTGATTGATGGATTTTG